CGGTGGGTCAAACCGGTTCAACAACTTTTTTTCTTTTTTCTTATTCAAATTGGTGATGATTGGCAGATGACCACAGCAATTGCCATAGAGGATGTAAGGAGAGAAGTGAAGATATTGCGTGCTCTAACAGGACATAAGAATCTGGTGCAATTCTATGAAGCCTATGAAGATGATGATAATGTTTATATAGTTATGGAGTAAGTTGATATTAGTACTCTTTTAAACCATATTGTGAATCCCCTTTACAAGCTTTCATGCTACTGAACATGTTACTTTAATCTCAATCTGAACGATTTTTCTGGGGAAAAGAAGACTTATTTGCATGCGACCAATGTTACTAATACTGATTGACACATAAGGCTTCCTTTATTGGAATTTACTTTTACTGTAAAATAATTATGCTGTTTGTTTTGAAATGTCAAGTTTATTAAGAGCTCATATTCTTATTTATCTTATGGTATTCAGGTTATGCAAAGGAGGAGAATTGCTAGATAGGATACTTTCAAGGTAATGATGTTTGTCAATTTGCTTTCCTCTGTACCACAAAAGTGGGGAAAAGTAAAGAGACATTCTGATTTAATTATTTTACCCTTGCATTTATTAACATTCTAACCATGCACAAGTTCAATTGTGGTATGTAGGGGTGGAAAGTACTCAGAAGAGGATGCCAGAGTTGTTATGATTCAAATATTAAGCGTGGTAGCTTTTTGTCATCTGCAGGGTGTTGTTCATCGCGATCTCAAGCCAGAGGTGATTAAGTTATAAAGTTAATTAGAGTCTGTTTAGATACAAGTTTAAAAATGTTTTTGAGAATTTCTCTACGGAAAAATATGTATTTCTAGTAGAGAAGTTCTCAAAAGTGCTTCTAACTTGCACTCAAGGAAATTCTTAATTTTATTAAATTTATTTTTGGGGTAGCTGCGGAACTTAGACATTGGAGTTTTCTTTTCTTTGGGATTAATTACACCATAGAACTATATTTTCCACCATGTTTCATTTTTAATTTCATCAGTGCGCTAGCAAGTCCTGGAAAACTTTTGCTGGACTTAAATAATAGACAGGAATCAACTTGTTTCTTGCGCCAGTTTCCATACTGTTTAATTACCCAATGCAGTTTCTTATTAATTACTATGTAGCATTTATATCTCAATATGTTTCTTATAGCTAAGGATTAAGAATGTTGTTTTGCTCTTTCTAGAATTTTCAATAATTTGGTTAAATACTTCACAGTTAGTGGAACATAACCTAAAATTTATTCTCAGCTTTGGTTTTTAAGTTTAACTCATTTGGAATCCAGTTGTTACTGTTTTAGACTTTTAGTGATGCTCGGTTCATCCGAGTTTTGGTGTCCCTTTATCATATGTTACCACAATGTGTGTAATGCTTTCGAATGTACCTTTCCACTTTAGAAAGAAACAAGTTTTTATGCCACTGCTGGCCTGGAAATGATGGTATGAATGCCATATATTGGAGTTATTTCAAACTTCATTCTTTATTGGTTAATGATCATTCTAAATGAAAACTGTTTGTGTTAAAGTTACAAATCAAATGACAAGTTCCATTGAATATTTCCTTTACATGGGTGTCTATATTCCTTCTTGGTTTGTTCTTCTGTTTTGCTAACCATGAATATTGGTTTTATACTTCAGAATTTTCTTTTCACTTCTAAGGATGAAAATTCCACGTTGAAGGCCATTGATTTTGGACTGTCTGACTATGTAAAGCCAGGTCAGGCATATTTGCGTGCTTTCTATACCTGTTTTATTGACTGAATATGACAACAGTGCTAACAATCCGAAGCTTTTTGCAGATGAGAGGTTGAATGATATTGTGGGAAGTGCTTATTATGTAGCTCCAGAAGTTTTGCATAGATCTTATGGGACAGAAGCAGATATGTGGAGCATTGGTGTAATTGCTTATATTCTTTTATGTGGAAGTCGTCCCTTTTGGGCCCGGACAGAATCTGGTATATTTCGGGCTGTATTGAAGGCAGATCCAAGTTTTGATGAGGCTCCTTGGCCTTCTTTATCTACCGATGCAAAAGATTTTGTAAAGAGGTTGTTGAATAAGGATTATCGTAAAAGATTGACTGCAGCTCAGGCACTTAGTATGTCTTCCCATTTCCCATGGTGGTGTACATGGTATTGATATGCTTATTTATTGATCTCATTAACTCTATGCTTATAGCCTGATTTTATGCATAGGTCATCCGTGGTTGGTGAATCATCATGATGATATGAGGATACCTTTGGATATGATAATCCACAAGCTTGTTAAAGCTTACATTTGCTCGTCTTCTTTACGCAAATCCGCTTTAGGGGTATGTGGTACTGGTGTTATTTGGCTATAGTTTTGAATTTTATCTTTGGTATTGTAAAATTTTCTTACACTGTTATCCAATCATGCATTATGACATCGTTAAATAAGTTTGACTATGACAACTACTTGAAAAGTGAACCATGTATAATCATGTGCCAACAAATGATTTTGATGCAACATTCAATCAATATTGAGACTTCATATCTCTTATTAATAAAGCCTTATCTCACTAGGTGAGGTCGGTTACAAAGATTACTCAATAACATTCGACTTGGTTAAAAACCAGAGTTTAGAGATATTGTTAATCATGAGATTCTTCTTGACCACTTCCTCCAATGTCCTTGGTTTCCCTCTCCTCATTTTTCACAGGACTAAAATGTAAGCAATATACTTTTTTAATCTGGTGCCTCCTAGAGCCTTCTTTGTAAGTATATAAATCACCTTAACTGATTCTCGGTCCTTTCCTCAATGATCAATCGGTACTATACAAATCATTTGGTATCTGGTGGTCCTTTCTTGTGTGGCCACACATCTAACTTAATATTCTCATTTCTGCTACTCCTACCTTTTTCTCTTGTTCCTTTAAAGCCGAACATTCACTACCACAAAATAAAGCCAAATTATAGAAGTATGATAAAACTTATTTTTGAGTTTTGTACTTTGCAATCAGAAATAGCCCGTAATGCCTTTCTCCATTTTAACTATCCCACTTGTATCCGGTGTATGACTTCCTCATTAGTTTCCCTATCACTTAGTAAGTATTTAAACTAAGAAGCCTGTGGTATGAAACTTCTCCCATTTTTACTTCCTCATGTCTCTTGTTGAGATTGCAATGCATATACTTGGTCTTCGTCCTACTTAAGCAAAAATCCTTTGCTTCCTAACTATGTCTCCAAGTTCAAGTTTAAAGCTAATTGCTTCCCTTAATTCCTCAACCAAAATTATATCATCCACAAAAAGCATGCAATTAGGCTTTCAAATTTAAATGGGTTATTTTGAAATTTAATGTTTGAATTCTTAGTTGTTCTAGGGGCAACCACAATAAATATTCTGGCTAGTATGATAATGAGAGGGCCCAAAAGGAACATAAAAGAAAGCAGAAAGGATGATTGCTAAAATTGGTAGAAACTCAAACTATAATGTTTTCAGATAGGGATTTAACCGCACCTATCTAAAGGGAAAATTTTTAAGAGAAGAATGAAGCAGAGAGAATCTTAAAAGGCTCTTCAGGCTGTTCAATTAATAACTAGTTAACTTATTGATTAGTTGTGAAATGTTTTTTGTGCTTGTCTGTCATCATTTGCAAGTGTAATAAACTATTCCATGTTTCTTGATGTAACCATTAGTTATTTCTGTTAGAGAAATGGATAAATATTTGATTAAACGGTTGTTATTTTTTCAGGCTCTTGCAAAGACGTTAACAGTAACTCAGCTAGCTTATCTCAGAGATCAATTTACTCTGTTAGGGCCAAACAAAAGTGGGTTAATATCTATGCAGAACTTCAAGACGGTCAGCACATATCTCAAGCTTGTTCCTTTTACAAATTTCTTCCAGGCATTAATATTTTTATTGGCAGGCTATTTTGAGGAGCTCTACTGATGCCTCAAAGGATTCACGGGTCTTAGATTATGTGAACATGGTAAGTTTGTTGGAACATCCCTTCTCATTAAATGTTTTAACAAAATACCTTCACTGAATGTTAATTTGTTATTCATGTGGCAGGTTAGTTCTATCCAATATAGGAAATTAGATTTTGAGGAATTTTGTGCTGCTGCTATAAGTGTGCATCAACTTGAGGGAATGGAGAGCTGGGAGCAGCATGCAAGACGTGCCTATGAGCTTTTTGAAAAGGATGGAAATAGACCGATCATGATTGAAGAGCTTGCCTCGGTATTTTCACATCCCATTGTCTATTATACCATTATGAGTGTGTTTGGAAAAATTGTGAAAATTAAATTATTTCAATAATCGATTATTGCTATGATCAATTATAATCATAATGAAATATTGTTTGGATTAATTTGCTGAAAAATGAATTTAAAATGTTTAATTTCATTTGGATACAATAAGGAAATCAGTTTTAGGTAGTAAATCAGCTTCAAAGGAAAAGAAGCTGTTGAAAAATAATCACAAGCTTCAAAATTTTAGCTTCTTAAAAACATCTTATTTTTCAGATTTTTTTTTTTGTTTTTTTACAAATTTAAGTTGTTCCAAACATATAGCTTATTTTGTAAATAGCTTTTTTCTTGAAAAAACAGCTAAAAGTGAGAAAATTAATCTTCCCGAAACATGTTCTATGTTGCATGATTAAATGTAGTGAATGCTGCCTAAGCCGCTATATTATTTTTGTTCATTCTTTCTTTTGGGGCACGATTAGAACAAAGAACATGCAATCCTGATTAATTATTCCCAACCTGTTAACTACTTGTGTTTGCCCTCTTTTAATTGCAGGTTCTTCTTAAGAGTACTCCTTAACTTCCTTTTTTAATTGTCCTATGCATTTTATCAGCATGATAGATACCTCAAATGAGATTCTTTATTAGTTTTTTATAGTATAATACTTCATCGCATGCATAATGATACTAAGTACTAAGCTCTTTAAAATCGACATGTTTCAGGAACTTGGGCTTAGTCCATCAGTACCTGTTCATGTAGTACTTCAAGATTGGATAAGACACTCAGATGGGAAGCTTAGTTTCTTGGGGTTTGTCAGGCTTCTGCATGGGGTTTCTTCTCGTGCATTTCAGAAGGCTTGAGAGAATGCACACATAGTTGATATTATTTTTGCTTGCCCCTTTTACCTTAAAATATTTTAATGGAAACTAAATGCATGAGCTAACTCCATCAGCAACCACTATGATGGCTTCTGCAAGTTAAAGACAGTAGCTGATAGGAATTTGTAGCTGATGAAGCTGTATGCAACATCATATATTAATCCCACTTTTCCAAGATTTCAAACACAACCTTTTCCCCACCTTGTTTCTCACTCACTTTAGGTTGGTGGTTCTGGAGTTAGAAGCTTGTACAGATGAAAGCTAGACCAGAAATTGTACTTAGGACCATCAGAACCTCTGAAAAATGATGAGTTGTTTTAAGGGTTTACCCCTTGTGTACCCATGACACTTATCAATAAGCATTCTTATCACGTGAACTCTTTGATAGTCGACAGATTTTAGCTTTTCTTGTTGTATTTATGTTATTATTATTATTCAAAGCCACAAGGGATGGTACTTTTTATATACAATAGCAGCATGGAGTTTTGAATCTATAACTTGCAAACTAAGCAAATACAAAACCCTTTTCCTCAGGTATGGTTGGCATTTGATTAATGAGCTATGCACAGTATCTTTAAATGGTTCCAAACTTCTAATGATATCAGTGTAAAGTTTTGCAGACACTCGAAAGCTTCTGGAGTTCAATTTTCAATATGTTGGTGATTAAGTCTTAATTTTAGGATAATTATTTCAGATTTCTAGCATTAAAATTCCATTTCGTATAGCTAGAAGAGCATTAATTTTTATTATCTTAAGATGTCTTGTATACAGTTTCCTATTTTAGTTTGCTATCTTTAAGAGAAGAATGCCTTCTGTTAGTGTAGAACTATTGATCTATATTCCTATTTATCTCCCTTGTAATGAATCATTCATACCAAAATATAATTCTTTCTTCGGGGTATTAAGAGTTTGATAAACCATTGTTGATTCTAGACACTATCATCAGCTCGCATTAAGAGTGACAAACCAGAGGGTCTGTCCGTGTCTTGTTTAATTGAAGGACCTAACCTTCCTATTACAGCCACATTGAGTATTCAAAATTTCAACCAATGAACAAGATCAGTTTGAATTATTCTTCAAGGGAAGGGAGAGTAATTACCTCATTGGAGAAGCCAAACCCCAATCCCAAAATGGAAGCTCAAGAACAACTTGGTGATGCCATGGTTGCTTAACAGCATGACCGATGAAATTAGAGAAAAAAATTATGGATTATAGTATTGCTAAAGAAATATGGGATGCAACATAAGAGACATTCAGATTATGAAGAAATTGAATGGAAGTGACTTGAAGACAAGAAACAATACATAGCTCTAGTAGAGGAAGTCAAGATTCACAAATTTATAGTTGGACTGAATAAGGATCTTGATGAAGTATGCAGAAGAATCTTTGAACCTAGCCACTTTCAAAGTTTCGTGTTTTCGAAAGTTAGGAAAGTAGGAGAAAACTCATGTTGCATATATATATCTAAAGTGGAGCAATGGTAGCAAGAGGACATCAACCAAATGAGTCTGACTCAATAGGAAAAAGACTAGTTCATGGTGCGAACACTGCAATGTAAGATAATTATGTCTCATGTGAGAAATATGTAATATATAAAAGGATTAATAAATAATTAATTAAATAATTAAGGACTAAATAATAAATGGGTTTAATGGAGCAGTTTTGAGAATAATTGTTATTTGATGAGAATAACAATTTTTAGGGGTTATAAATATCCACTAATGTGAAACAAGGTCCACACTCCTGACAGAAAGTATTCTCTCAAATCCTAGCCATCATGGAAGATAGACAGTAGAAAGAAAAGTCAAAGGGAGTGAAATCTTGATTCTCTTCTCAAGAAGATCAAAGTATTCTAAGGATCAAAGAAGATTTTCATTATAGAGAAAGGTACACATTTTTTCTTATTTTTATGTAAGTATCATAAATTTCAAAGATCCTTTAATTTTCTATAATTAATTTATTAAAAAATCATTAAACTTACATGTAAGCCAGGCCAGGCCACACATAAAGGACAATTTAAAAAATTCATGGAAAACAAACTCATGCAAAATTATCTTGTAATAAAGAGTACCATGGCAACATAGCCTCAACATATGTTCAGGAGGTAGACATAATAAGGACAAATCCGATGCAACTCATTCTAGAAGAAATTAGATGGAAATTCCACAAAAACTACTTCAACAAACTATGCAAGAAACTGGAAAAAAAACATTGGTATAATAATTGTAGCACATTGATGACACATTTTCAAAGGTTAGTGGTAAAGGTTCAATTGTTATCTCAAAGGATATCTTTAGACTCACTCCTGAATGTTACTAGACTAGAGTATTTTGTGTTACTAGACTAGAGTATTTTGTTGTCATAAGTAACTTGATAAAAGATTTCAACTATGTTACCAAGATTCTACCAAATTTGAGCGTATTATAGGCTTTGGAAGTGAGGAAGGTAGACAATTGCCAGTGGTGAAGAATGTAATGTACTCTATCTCTTTTTGGCTGATGATTACGAGAATAAATATAAAATTAATAGTAGTGTAATAGTTTCTTTTTTCAAAGAAGTGTGTTAATCTATAGCTTGTATATAGAATACTTAGTTTAGATTCAATGCGAGTCTAAATTCACCCAATTCTTAATGTAATGTACATGTTTCGCAACACATAACAAGAAACATGAAAATAGAAATGCAAGAATGAAAATAGAGAAAAATGCTTGATCAATTTACATTGGTTCAGCTACATCATTTGTGACCTACATCCAGTCCCCAATCAACTCGATTGAGATTTTTTACTAATCTTTAATATCAAAAGTTTTACAATATCACGTGTAATACACTTCTATACTATCAAAGAAACCACTTCTTGAACTCCAAGAAGCACCTACTTGTAGTATCTATCTACAAGATTCTCTCTTCATAAGAAACATACTTTAGAAGACAACTAATATAGAAATTTAAGGAACAAATTCACTTGATGTATAGAACAAATCAGAGAAGGTGAATAACCATGTAGCTTAACCTTTCACTCCATTGAGATGATGATCAACTCAATTCTTGAAAACTTTCTTGAGGTTACCACAAAGGTTAAAGAACCTTTTCTTGTAGAGAGAAATGTATTTTAGAGACTGTTTTCGTGAAAGATATCACAAAGATTCAGAAGGTCTTTGTTTAAGGTATGAAAAATGATACATATATAAGTTTTCTTGTTGAAATAATCGATTATTTACATAGATAATCGATTATTTTGTTCTTAGCAATTCTGAAAATCAACCATGAACAATTTAATCGATTATTTTGAACAATAATCAATTATTCCATAACCTTATTTCTAAAATAATTGATTATTTTGTTGAATAATTGATTATTACAACGACTACTCTTTAGGTAACTAAAAAATAGAGCAAATAGTTGATTATTACTTGAAATAATAAATTATTTTAAGTGAAAATTTAATATCTTGATTTTTCATACCATTTCTTTACAAATCAATTTCAACTTATATCTAAGTTATCAATCATCATATAAATAGAGATAAAATGTTAAGTTACTTACCAAGTACAAAGCACACAAACAACAAAGCTTAAAACACACAAAACAAGATACAACTTGCACTATTTTTTATCAAGAGGCTCAAAACACAAAATAAACCACAAGTTGAACTCTTATCTCTCAAGAAGCTTATTTGTAATCATCAAAACCAATTAGGATCATGTCTTCATCTATTTAAAAGCCTAACAATTAATCCTAAAAAGAAAATACAACTAAAATAATTCAAAATAAATATATAGAAAATAAAAAGATGAAATATAATTTCAAACATTTGCATGGGCTTGCAAGTGAGTGCACACTTGTGCTAGTTTTTGTCTTGCAAGAGACCTTCTTTCAGCTCTGATTGCACCAACGTGCAAAATAGTGCATGGACATGCCATTTGTTGCCTTGTAAATTTTTCGGGTATAAGGTGGTTTGCACGAGCATGCCATTTATTGCCTCATGAATTTTTTTGGTACAAATTGGTTTGCACGGGCATACAACTAATATGCATGCCCACAACATCTGGTAAAGGGTTGAAGCTTCTTTAATTTGCTTATCCTTATGTTCGTGATGATTAATCATGCTTCAATGCTCCATATAGTTTTAGAATTTCTTTTTTTTTTTTTGCACCAAACCAAACACTTTTGACCCTTATATTTATAAAATGCAACACATCAATTAACCTCAAACTTAAAGTGTATGTTTAATAATAATCTAATAGTAAAAAAAATGAAAAGTAAAGATGCATGACAAAATGACAGATACAAAATAAATAAGCAAATGATAAATGAAAAAAATAAACAAATAAAAAATGACAAAAAAGGAAAGTAACATGTAAATTTAATGTGAAATTGATATTATAAATTAATTTGTAAAAGGAATAAAGTGTAGGACAAGAAAGATAATAAACTTGAATAAAATTGAGAAAATGGAAAATGGTTGAGATCACATTTGCATCAAGTATTATAACAAAATTATAAAACCTATGGGTGGCCATGACCACCACTACCACCACCCCCCCTTCCCTCACAAACAACACGTGTTAGTGGAAGCCACACTCATAATGCCACAAATGTTGGTCAAGGTTGTAGAGGATAAACTAGAAAAAAAAACATTTATTTGCAACATCATCCTTCACGACCAAGATTTGATGATGGTAAAATGTGTTATGGATGCAAGTCAAATAATATAATATGATGGAAATCTCAAGGAGAGACTAAATTGATGTAGTTCCTCCTTCAAGCTTCTAGAATGGATCTTTAGCTTCCTGGATTCCTTCAATCTCCTTCAATGGCTTCCTAAGGTGTTAGAAGCCATTCCAAACACACATGGAAGAGATAGGGTCTCCCTTGATGATGCCACACTTTTGTTGAGTGATAAGTCATTTCAAACTCTCATCACACTTAAGAGAGGATAAAAGAAAAGGAATAAGCTTCAAGGAGAGAAACAAGCTGTGAGAGAGAATTAGAGAAAAGTTCATATAACTAAAAAATATACTCTAAAACTATTCTGCCATTACAAGGAAAAAACCATATATAGGATTTGGTTAACTTATGGTGCAAGCTAGACTAACCATGGTCAAGTGTAACCATGGTTAGTTATCTTATACTTAAGCTAATCAATCCTAGTTAAGTATATAAAAACTTATGGAGCTAAGCTCATCCTAGTTTAGAAATAACTTAGGTTAGCTTAAGTTAACTCCAACTACCTAACCTAATCATTACAACTAGCAAACTAATGATTACTTTTAATAAGTTTGTTGAGGTTTCACTATCAAAGCCATGTGACTTATTTAACAACTTGAATGGCTAAATTGGTTAGGTTTGGATGTCCAAACCACTTGCATAAGCAAGTGGACATCCAAACCTATGGACCATGAAAAAGTTTGGGCCATCCAAGCCCAAACAAGTCTATGGCATTAGCTAGTTACACCTCTCCTAAACTACTAATTACACCCTTAAAGAAAAATTATACAAGGGCAAAAATTTCTATGCTACTTGACCCAAAATACAAGGCCAAAAATATCCTAATACAACAACTATTAAGAAAAATGTAAAACAACAACAGGAGCTCTTTAACGTAGGATAGGTCTCCAAAAAGGTAGGATACCTTACAAAATACGGGTAAATGCCCTATAATTCTTCAAACCATCTTTATCATCCTTCACTCTTCTTGGTTTTATGTTTTCCAAAGGGATCCTTGAGAAATAGGTTTCTATCATAATATCTAAAAGATAAGTTGAAGTAGAATGTGGTGGTGGACTAGTTTTACATGTGGTGTATAGTGTACCAATTTTATTAAATATTAATTATCTCATTCTTCCAATAATATAATTCTCCAACCACAAGGAATTGTTTTTTTCCTTCACTCTCTTTGCCCTCCATTGCTACATTTTCAATTATGTTGCCTCATTGGAGGTTTTTTTCCTCACTTTTCCTCTTTCATTGTTGTCTATCGATGCTTCGTCTCCTTTCTCATCAACACTAACTTTGACTACATTTAATTACCTTTCATACACCATCAAATCCAGTGATACTTAATTACCTTTTTGTGGAAGTTAAACCTACTCTTATTGAACACTATTTTTCCTCTTTAATTGTTAGAATATGGAAAACAAAAATCCAAACACGGGAGTAGTAGGTGGTGTTGTAGTGACAATCCTTATTGGCAATAGCGGAGAGAGAGAACAACAATAGAGGAGTTAGAGTGGACAAAAAAATAATCTTGTGTAGATGGTGTATCATTGTGAGGATGAGATGAATCTAATGATTAATAAAATTGGTAAACTAAGGACCATACGTAAAATTAGTTCACTCTAGCCTTACTTGATAAAATAAAAGAAGAAAAGAATAATGATTAATAAAATTGTTAAACTAAGGACCATACGTAAAATTAGTCCACTCTAGCCTTACTTGATAAAATAAAAGAAGAAAATAATAGGTTAGATTTCAATTATTTTTTTATACATGGAGTTTTTAAGCTAAGGAGGAATGTTGAATTGAATCACTTGAAATTTGTGGTACATAATTTTTGAAAGTCTATCTCTCCTAAAATGATAAAATAAAGTGTTACTAAGATATGTCTTTCAAATATTTTTCTTGTATGACGCATTTATTTTTTGATTATATTCATCGTTATGGTATTAAAAATAGTGTATATTTTGAGATTAAATTGTTGTCTGAAAACACATAAAGAGAAATGTAATTTTTACAATGATTTCTCGATTTAAAAAATATTTTACATTTTTCATACATTTATCGTGCTCCTAAAGTAGTAATATTGAAATAAAAATAAATAAATAAAAGGAGATTAAAAAATATCTGAAATTGATTTATTGATTCTTGAAGACTAAACAAAATAATGAGTTGCTCAAGGATTTTCACAAAGAACTAGTATTGATTTTGAAAATACATATTCACTTGTAGTTAATGCAAGTACTTTTCAATACTTAATTAGTTTGGTTATACATGAAGAACTTAATTTACATCTAATTGATGTAGTTACAACATATTTGTATGAATTTCTTGACACTGACATTTATATGAAGCTGCCTAAAGGATTTAATTTATCCAATGATACAATTTCTAGAGAAAATTAGTCGATAAAGTTGAATAAGTCTCTATATAGATTAAAGAAATTAAGACGTATGTGGTATAATCATTTAAGTGAATATTTGCTAAAAAAAGATACAAAATAATCCAATTTTTCCATGTATCTTTATAAAAAAGATCTGAAAATGAATTTGTCATAATTATTATTTATATAGACAACATAAGCATTACCAAAACTCTCAAAGAGCTTTCAAAAGTCATAAGTTATCTAAAGAAAGAATTTGAAATGAAAGATCTAGAAGGACAAAGTTTTGCTTGGGATTACAAATTAATTATTTAGAAAAATGGAATTCTTAAGCATTGAGAAACTTATATAACAAAGGTTCTTAAAAGGTTTTATATGGACAAATCAATCCATTGTGCACTCCTATGGTTGTAAAATCTTTAGATATTAACAAAGATCTATTTAGATTCTAAAAGAGGATGAAGAAATACTTGGTCCTAAAATACCATATCTTAGTCCTATAGGAGCACTATTGTATCTTGCTAATTATACACAACTTGATATAACATTTGTTGCTAATCTGTTAACAAGATATAGTTCTTCACCTACATGAAGACACTAGAGTGGAGTTAAACAAATCCTTTGTTATCTTAGAGGTACACTGAATATAGGGTTATTCTATTCAAATGTTCCCAAACCAGAATTAAATGATTATGCAAAAATAAATTATTTGTTAGATCCTTATAATGGTAAAATACAAAAAGGATATTTGTTTATAAGTGATAGTACAGTCATTTATTGGCGACCTACAAAATAAACCATAACAGCTACTTCGTCTAATTATGTAGAAATTTTAGCGTTATACAAGACAAGTTGTGAATGTATTTGGTTAAGATCTATGATTCAACATGTATGAGAAACTTGTGATTTATCTTTTGAAAAAAAGACATCGATATTTATATATGAAGATAATGTTGCTTGTATTGCACACTTCAAAGATGGATACATAAAGGGAGATAAAACAAAGTTTATTCTACCAAAAAAATACTCATAATCATCAAAAGAACAGTGATATAAATGTTCAACAAGTTCACTCATATGACAACCTAATAGATCTTTTTATAAAGTCACTTCCAGGAAAAAAAATTGAACAATTGATACACAAGATTGAATTTCGTTGTCTTAAAGATGATTGTATGCATGAAATGGTGAAATAAATATTTAAGAATGATACTTTTTTCTTTTACTAGGATTTTATCCCACATGATTTTTCCTAATAAGATTTTAACGAGACATATTCTAAATATTGGATATCTAAGATGAAGTGTTATGAATAATAACTGATGACTTAATTAATGGATGTCCATATTCAATGTACTCCCTTCATTTTTTTTTCATTGTCTTCAAGGTTATGCACAAGAATTAAGACAATTGATATTTTAGTTTTTCAAAGTATTTATTACATATTTTTCTGCTATACCCTTTAGGTGGTTGGAGAAGAAATAGGTACATTAGAAAATAAATAGACACATTGTTCAGTAAATATGCATTAATTATCAAGGGTAAAAATGAAAAAGAAAATTAATAAGTCATTGGTTTTAGAAAAACGACAATGAAAAAAAAATAACAAAATCTGAAAAAACGACTGAAAAAAAAACAGAGGGAGTACATTATTACTCCTCCATTTTTTATTTATTTTTAAGGGTATACATAAGAATTAAGAAAATGATTGATAATTTAGTTTTTCAAAGTATTTATTACGTATTTTCCTGTTATACCCTTTAGGTTATTAGAAAAGAAATAGGTACATCGAAAAATAAATAAACACATTATTCAATAAACACATATTAATTATTAAGGGTAAAAATGAAAAAGAAAATTAATAAGTCATTGATTTTAGAAAAGTGACAATGAAAAAAGAACAAAAAATAATACCAAAATGACTATGAATAAAAAATAGAGAGAGAGTACCATTTATATTTCCATTATATATTATTCTATTTTTGTATAATTATTCAACTACCATTATAAATAGGCTAGTCCTTTATTAGAAATAATACATTGAATTTTTCTCTCTCTTATATTATCTTATTTGTTCTCTCTATTATTTATTTTTTCCATAACATACATTGATTTTTTAATTAATATTTATTCTTACACTTTATTCTCTAAAATGAAATCTCCTCATTTTAGAGGAGACAAATCAAAAAATAAGATATGTATTTATGATGTTGTGTTCTTTATATAAGGCTGTTTCAATAAAAATATTATATGCTTTATTTTTTAATGATAAACCCCAAAAACAACAAATACCGATGCATTGCAAGAATAAACACAAACAATAGCCATAGATGGACAATGCTATTGTATAAAAAAGCAGCTGATAATGAATTTACATAAACATGATTTCATCAATCGGAATTTCCATGATATAGTGTTCGTGTCAATAATCAACATCAGCTCCAACACATTAAACAGATCATTCTTGAAAAATGAGAATCCTAATGTAATCAATCCTGAAACACAGGTTTTCCTTCAAATTTGTACATCCCAAGTTTCAAGTTTGTGAATGTGGCAGCTTCCAAATTGGCCTTACTTCTTTAGAAAGGTGAGCATACAGAAAAATGCTACTGCCCGAGCGATTACACCCATAAGAATGAGAATAGATATACACAAACCCCAATCATGAAGATTATAGCCACTTTTCAGTAGTGAACCACAACGAGTTAAGAGCCACACTCCAGGATACCTACAATATTTAAGCAATTAGCACAAACAGTATCCAGATTCAAATTAACAATTAATATGTACATCAAGTAATTTACTATTTTTGTTCCTATATATATATACCTGATATAAACTGTTGATAGCACGTTGATAAAAAAATAAAACTCTAGAATATATCATAGGCTTATTTAATCTGCAATCTTTTAGTTCTCTTTACACTCACTTGATGCAATTGCAACTTCAATTAGTCAAAATTTATGATTCACCGGAGATTTGTGCTAAACTACTCCTGGCTATTAATCATTCACTAGAAACAGGAGTTAGAAAAATAGTAGAAATTGCTTATTTACATTATTCGTTCAGAAAACTTCATCCAAAATTTAAATCGTGTGAAATCTTCAACTTATGTTTAAGTTTTTTTGGAGTTAATATGAGAGTTTCTATCCATTAGCTTATAGAAAAATTTATGAGCATGTTTATATATCACTTTGTAAAGTATAAATATATATTATAATTATTTTCTACAAGCTTTTATATCTACAGTTACGACTAGAACTAGGTTAGACTAGATTATTTATAATTTAGTAGGTGAATTCAACCTTCATTGAAAATATATGTTTCAAGTATGATTTATTTATCCGTAACAGACATTTTTTTTTAATGTTTGGTTAGAACTACAATCTCAAATACCTACTTTATAATAATTTAACACTAATAAAAAATAAAAATGTTAAATTTTATAAAAATCAAATTTAATTTATTTATGATATAAACATATTTTTGATATCTAATATAAACTTTTAAATGATAATTTTTTAAAAATATTTTATAATAAAAATTATAAATATAACATAAATCTTACAAATTTTACTAATTTAATTTTTTAATCAACGTGTATAATAAATAGAAAGCACCAAAGATAAATATGCATGTTACAAATTTTATTTTATCAAAAATTGATTTTTTTAATATATTATATTATATATGTGAGTATTAATATATATATATATATATATATATATATATATTAATACTCACATATATAATATAATATATTAAAAAAATCAATTTTTGATAAAATAAAATTTGTAACATGCATGTTTACTTCAAAAATTTGAAAAATATTAAATAAATAGACATCTCTTCCAAACTTAAATTTTATATATATGATAATTTAAAAATATATAATTTTATTTTATTAGAATATAATTTTTATTTTTTAAAATATACTATTTTTGAATAAAAAATATATTATATAAAATTGTAAAATGATAGTGGGGCAAGTGCCCCCACAATACTGCATCTAGATCCATCTCTGGGTACAAGCTTGAAAGCACCTTTAAGAAATTCTATCGTTAAAAAAAAAATCATTTCCAATAAAGAAGCTGACAAAAGCCTTTGTAGACTACAAGTGTTTTTTTGATAAATTTATCCAAACATACCCTTATTAACCCATGTATTTCCCTAGTTATATATTATGTACGGAAGTAATAATCTCATTTCTTACGAAATTGTACCCTTCCATCCCCTAAGTAACTTTTTTCTTGAATGAGGTCATTTAGCACTTGTTCGATTACGCAATGAAAAGACATGTAGTGCTTATAAACATGAGAGAATGGAAGCCATGCATAGTAGCTTTATTTGGAATTTTCCTTCATCGTGCTTCAAATCAAAATATATGTTTATTAAAATAAGTTCATATGCCAAACAAGTTTAATTTGGTTAAACTAAAAAATTAGTCAAAGTACCTCATAAGCTTCACCAAACACACTCGTAACAACTAAAAGCTTTGGAATATTACTTGATATGGTATAAAAGCTTTTACGACCATGTGCTCAAAAGTTGGACACTGATCCTGATCTTTTATGACTATAAGTGATACTTGCCTAATGACCTTTTACACAAGGGAGCTTGTTTGATGTAAAACTGAATAACAAGCCTGAACCTTTTCACCAACGGTTATGATGCAAGAAAAGTCCTATATAGTTCAAACAAGAAGATAAGTTTATATATATACAGTTGTCTCCATTGGTTGAGGCCCTTTTAATGATGTCTAAAAGCAAATTCGTGAGAACTTAGGTAAAAAACGAACATGGATGGTTAGAAGGCGTGCCCCGCTATCATGAACTCACGATAGAGTGACGGATCTAGGTATAAAATCCCTTATATCGAAAATCTTCCTGATATTGTGGATCCATATATGGAAGAGAGTCCTCCTGGTAACATGGATGGTTAGGAGATGTGTCCATTATCGTGAGTTCACAATGAAGCGATGATACAAGTACTTAGAACAAGATTGGACTTTATGAGCCACCATCAGATATACTTGTGGATTGATAGCTTTTACGTTGCAAATGGAGGGTTAAACCATGATTCTTTATTTGAGGGAAGAATTATTGGGATGGAAGCAAAGTCCCTTATCGTTCAAACAAGAGGATGAATATGGGTTTATATGCACATAGTTATCTCCATTGGTTGGAGGTTTTTTTGGTGATGTCCAAAAGCAAAACCATAAGAGCTTAAGTTCAAAGTGAACAATATCTTACCAATGTGAAAGCAATGTGCATATGTGTGATAACCCCCATGCTCAACACCAACAACCTAAGATTTCTTTAGTGTTGGTCCTTAACATTTCCAAAAATCCACCAATTAGCTTGAGCTATATTTCATCACCTCCACATCTAGCATCATTATCCTATGTTGGTTGATTAAACACTCCTATGACATCACTTTACAATCATTAAATTTTGTTATCAATCATTATTCCAAGTTGATGGGGTTATTTTATGGTATTTGTCTGAGGGGATATTTTAAGAAAGTTATTTTTACAAGGTTATTACAAAAACATACTTCACAATGATGAGAGGGGATATTTTATGAAAGTTATTTTTATAAGGTTATTACACAAACATACTCCACAATGATGAGATATTGTCCGCTTTGGACCTAAGTCCTCACGGTTTTGCTTTTGGTCATTACCCAAAAGGCCTCTTAATCATTGAAGTATGTTTGTGCTATATAAGTTGTTATTTCTTATCTTATTTTATTGATGTGGAACTTGTTTGTATTCCAACAATCCTCCTCTCAAACAAGGGACCTAACCTTTCAAGCAGCGGAATATGTCTTTATATATCACATTATATGTTATGAGTTATGAAGGGTTATGGGGTTATTGGTTGTCACCAAATCTAACATGCGGCTCTGATACCACTGAAGGGGTTATTTTATGGTATTTGTCTGATGGGATATTTTATAAAAGTTATTTTTATAAGGTTATTACACAAACATATTCCATAATGATGAGAGGGAATATTTTATGAAAGTTATTTTTATAAGGTTATTACACAAACATATTCCATAATGATGAGAGGGGATATTTTATGAAAGTTATTTTTATAAGGTTATTACACAAACATATTCCATAATGATGAGAGGGGATATTTTATGAAAGTTATTTTTATAAGGTTATTACACAAACATACTCCACGATGATGAGATATTGTCCGCTTTGGACCTAAGCCCTCACGGTTTTGCTTTTGGTCATTACCCAAAAGGTCTCTCAATCATTGAAGTATGTTTGTGCTATATAAGTTGTTATTTCTTATCTTATTTTATCGATGTGGGACTTGTTTGTATCCCATCGATCCTCCTCTCAAACAAGAGAACCTTTCAAGGTATTTGTCTGAGGGGATATTTTATAAAAGTTATTTTTATAAGGTTATTACACAAACATACTCTACAATGATGAGAGGGGATATTTTATTAAAGTTATTTTTATAAGGTTATTACACAAACATACTCCACAATGATGAGATATTGTCTGTTTTGGACCTAAGCCCTTACGGTTTTGCTTTTGGTCATTACCCAAAAGGTCTTTCAATCATTAAAGTATGTTTGTGCTATATAAGTTGTTATTTCTTATCTTATTTTATCGATGTGGGACTTGTTTGTATCCCAACACAAGCAAATAATTACTTTGTGCTTCTCCCTGCCTAATGGGTAAAGACTTTTGTTGGCGAAATCAATCTATGTTTCAAGCTTCCATTTTCCAAAAGCAACAACATATTACTAACTCTTCTTTCTTCAAATCTTTGGCTAATATGCAACTTCCACAATAGTTTGTCCTTCCTTTAGTTCTAAACACTGATCCACCATGGGCCCTCTTACTATAATTTTTTTCTCTTCCAACACATTTGTTTAGTTTAGATTATTTATTCTTCTAGTGAAATGGTTAGGATCATCCCCTCTAGATCTACATAAAAACATTTGATCTGAGCATCTTTCCAACTTAAGAGGCATAATTAAAGTATTTCCTTCAATGGACTAGCTTTATGGCAAAATTTGATTACCTTTCCTTTTCAACTATACTATTTCCTCCTTAAGAGAGTCACTCATAATGATACCCATTCCATTCCTTGTTCAATCTCTTTCTGAGAATCACAACTTAGAAGTAAAAAAAAAAGTGTGCATTTGTCTTCAACATGTTATGTTGTTGCTGACACTGACATAAAGTATTTATCCTTCTTCTAATCATTGTATCCTCTATCTCCATATTATTCCGATTGATGTTCCAAATGGTCCAAGTTTCCTTCCTCGATCTCTTAGTTCTAACAGGTTTTCCATTGCATTTGAGCCAAGCAGCTCATACTGAGGATGTTGTCCAACACAGCAACCCTTGTTTATTTTGCAGTATACCGTCACCCAAGGAGATGTAGTAACCTTGCTTACTTTTTATACATACAGGCAATTTAGCAAATCGCTTCAAGGGAACACAAAGCAAACACCAATGGAGTTCAATCAACATAATTAACAGTAAATTACCTTTCAGCATTTGCAATTATGAACGCTTCTAAAGCCCACCTAGAGTAGCATAAGTTAGCTATATCCTTCATAAATTTACCATCTTTTGGCTGTGTTGCAATGAGTGTGAAAACAACTGGAAGAAGTACTGAGCACTACAAGAAACAATAACATGTCAGACTGTCAGAGGGAAAGTGAAAACATAATGATGAGTAAAATTTTAATTGGGTGTTGGTAAAAGTTTTATTATTTGTTTCTAATACTCACTAGCTGGGCTGCGCCAGGTTCAAAGAATATGGCCAATGCATATGCTATGCCAGTCACACAGTATACAAGACAAAGCAGCACAATGTAATTATCTGCAAAAGTTGATCTTGGATAGGTAAAGAAGTAGAACATAGAGAGGTAAACCAAAGGTTTGATCACTGTGTTAAAATGATCAATTGTGTCTTTAGAGAGAAAATATGCCAAGCTGCTCATGCCAGAATCACTCTCCCTCCAGTAGTGTAGTTTATCCAGAGAAAATGATCTCAAGGCAGCTATTTTGCATAAAAGAGCTGAAATTAACAATAACAATAAATTAGAATAAAGCATTGTGCACATGAATTCTGGAAGTCAATTTGTAAAAGCATTCAATTAATTCTAATTCCAAAATGAAAATTCTATTAAAGTTTCTCATGCCTTAAGGTTCAAACAGAAAGTTTGAATAAAAGCTAATATAATTGTCAAAACAAATGCACAGAAATATAAGTTGTTAGAAACTAGATTTGAGCCTAACTCAACTTTATAAAATTGACTTGTAGGATGAAGATTGTCTCTCACTTGTTAAACAAAGAATTTGTCATTATTTTGTTTTCTAATATATGAGCTGAATATTAGAAATAATATTAACAATTATTATTCTTTACAAATAATTGTATCATGAATTTAGGAATCAGTCTTCCTTATAAATCAAGGGATGTAAATCAGTTAGTAATATTATAGAATAGAATATAACAAGAGCAGACAAGAAGCCAAAAATTCTTGACATGGTATTATGAGTCTCTTAGCTTGATATATCCTTTGATCACTTTTTTTATTTTTGGCTCTTGACTTGGTTTCTAATTCTAGTTTATTGTTTCTTGTGTTAATTGTGTACCATATTTTGGTTGAAGGTTTCATTGTTGACTCCTCCTTGTTCGTGGTCTAATGGTTGTTTCTTGACTTATTGCGGGTTCAATCATGCCAATGGATAATTTTTTGCATCCATTTCACTCGCAAAAATTACATTGCCTAGGAATTTCAATTCAAGATGTTTAGTAAAGAAAAAGGTCGTTATATGAAAAAGGTTCAATGTCTCTCTTGCAAGCAATTTGGCTATATTTTCTCGCAATTGCAATAAGAAATTTTGTAACTATTGTAAGTAACATGGTCACATCATTACAAACTATCTGATTCGACTCAACCAAAAGCCAGCGGAAGACTTACATGCCTTTTTTTGTTTCAATTCCCTCTACTTTTGCAACCTTTAATGCTAGTGTCTTGACCTTGGAGCATCCAGCAAATGGTATTGTTTACTCTATCTTCCTTGGGCATTCAAGGTAAGCCCAATACGTCTCTCAACTTTGGTTTGTTGCTTCTGGGGCCTCAAACCACATGATAGGTTCACCTGAACATTTACACAATGTTCATAGTTACATTGGTACCGAAAACATTCAAATTGTTGATGGTGATACTTTTTCTATTACTAAGGTTGGAGATTAATTATCTTTACGAGATGTCTTTTTCTATCAGTCTTGTTTCTAACTTAATTTTAGTTGGACAATTGGTAGATAATAATTATAATGCTAATTTTTCCCATGTGGGTTGTTTTGTGTAGGATCAAGTGTTCAAGAAAGTGATCGTGAGGGGGCCTAAAGTGGGAAGATTATTTCCTTTATACCAAGAATTTTGTCTTCTGCCTATAATGTTGTTCTGAATAAGTTTGAGGATTGCCATAAGAAATTGGTTCATCCTAATTCCACTATTTTGTTGCGTTTTCTGAAAAGTGGCTTGCTGAATAATAAAATTATATATTCTCATTCCTCATTAGATGTTCTATGTGCAAACTTGCTAAAAACAAAATTCTTCCATTTTCTTCTACGAGTCACCGTGTTGATAAATACTTTGATCTTATTCATAGTGATATTTGGCGGCATATCACCGATATTATTTCATGCAAAGTACAAATAATTTTTGACATTTATTGATGATTATAGTATATTTACATGGATCTATTTTCTTTGCTCTTAATGAGGTTTTGAACAAGTTTAAGAATTTTTTAGCACACGTCGACAATCAATTTCATAAGTGTATCTAGATCCTATGCACTGATTTAGGGATGAATATATTTCTCATGATTTTTAGGAGTATTTGCAGCAACAAGGTATTATTTCCTAGTGTTCTTGTCCTTATACGCCTCAACAAAATGGAGTCGTTGAACGAAGAATAGGCACTTGCGTGATGTAACTTGAGCATTGTTTCTTTAGATTTCTATTCCTTCTCAATTTTGGGTTAAAGCTCTAGCCACCGCTATTTATTTGATCAATTGCCTCCCGACCCCAGTTCTAAACTTTAATTCTCCTTTCTTTCGTCTTTACAATACACTGCCAACTTATCATTACGTTCACACTTTTGGTTGTGTATGTTTTGTCCACTAACCACTATTGGAACGTCACCAACTCGAAGCTCACTCTGTGCAATGTGCCCTATATGGATTATGCTCCCACTCAAAAAGGATTCTTATGTTACGCATATCCCAAAACGTGGCCTTCTTTGATAGTCAACATTTTTTATCTTCTTTCTCCACTAGCTCTCTGGGTTTGGCTTCCCTCCCTCAATTTGAAAAACTTTATCAACTTCCTCAACGTTGGAAACCAGGTCATATGTATGTTAGACGCTAGCATGATTCCTCCCCTCTCGTCACCTATTCCTCCTCTAATAGTTCCCCAACGATCCACTCGAGTTTCTCATCCACCTAAATGGTAAGGGTAAATGCCATGAATGATGAACCTACTTCTCTTGTCACTTTATATAGTATTTTTGTTCCTACATGTTATTCACAAGCAGTTAAATACTCTAGATGGGTAAAAGCCATGAATGATGAGCTACAACCACTCAAGAGAATTTTCTTGGGGTATTGTTTCATGTCCAACTAGTGTTAAACCCATTGATTGCAAATGGGCATATTCTATAAAGTTGAATTCCAATGAATCTTTCAACTAATTCAAGGCCCGATTAGTTTCTTTGGGCAACAAACAAGAATATGAAGTGGACTATGATGAGACATTTGCACCCGTGGGTAAAATGACTAGTGTGAGAACCATCCTTTCTATTGTTGCATCCAAAGGTTGGTGAATGTGAAGAATGTCTTTCTTCATGATGACCTTGCAAAAGATATCTATATGAACAACCCCCCCCCCCCCCCAAAAGGGTCTATTTTCCTCTTCAATTTGCGTGTGCAAATTAAAACGTTCTCTATATGGATTATGATAGAATCCAAGATGTTCGTGGGCCTCTTGACAGCTTGGTCCATTATGACAATAGGGCTCCCAAGGAATGGAAGGTCTATACACGTAGGAAGAAGAGAGGAGGAGCAGAATAAACATTAGAACACATAGGCAGGGTAGTTAGAAGAGAGAGAAAATGAGATCTTTTTGGTTATTTAGTAGCACGAGTTGGAGAGAGGGAGGTATGCAGTAATCATTTTCTTTTGTGAGAGGGTAGAGAAAACCTTTTCTAATATTAATATAATTCAGTCCCGTATTCCTTTTTATTTAGTGCTATTTTCTTCTTTGAGTTTGGGGTCTCATCAATTTGGTCCGACCTGCCGGATATTCTCTTGAACGCCGAATGCCACCCAAGAGAAGAGGAGGAAAAGGAGAATCAGCGACAATGGAGGCGCGATTGGGAAATGTAGAGGGTGAGCTAGGTTGGGTAGTGACGGCGATAGAAGAACTCTGCAAACAAGCTACGCAGCACCAGTCTACCATGGAGTTATTACGAAAACAATCAGAACAACAAACAAAGATGATGGAGATGATGTCTCGAAGCCTTGAGAAGGTTCACTTCCAGGAAGAAGGTGAAGGTTCGGTTGGTCAACACCAAGGTTCAGGAGGTCGACCGAGGATACTTGAAGGGGAAGCATTGGAGAAGTTTCGTCAATCAGTGAAAAAGATTGAACTCCCTATGTTCAATGGAGAAGACCCAGTCGGGTGGATCACGAGGGCGGAAATATACTTTCGAGTTCAAGAAACTAGCGAGGTGGTGAAAGTTAGCTTAGCCCAACTATGTATGGAGGGAGGAACCATACATTTTTTCAACGCACTGTTGAACGACCAAGGAGACCTGTCATGGGAAGATTTGAAACGGGAGCTACTGGATCGTTATGGAGGATTGGGAGAAGGAAGTGTGTTCAAACAACTCACTGCTATACGTCAAAATGGAAGCGTTGATGAGTATATCCAGAAATTCGAATCTCTGGTAGCTCAAATCCTTAAATTACATGACGAGCAGTATTTCGCATACTTCATTCATGGATTACAGGATGATATAAGGTCACGTTTGCAGAGTCTGCATGTGGCAAATCCTTTGACAAGGGGACGAATGATGAATACGGCAAGAGCTGTCGAGATGGAGTTGGCAAATCGTAGCAACAGATGGCAGGGAAGAAATAACACACGTGGAGGAGGAGGATCCCATTTGGGTTATAGAACCCAAACAAGCGTTTCGGGTCGGGTTGGTCCACGGAATGTTGGTACTGGGGGAGATACCAATGGGCCAGGCCCAAACTCACGTTTAGAAGGAGTGGGTAGAAATAAAATTGGGCAAAGGGATAGAGGCACTAAACACCTAGCATACCAGGACTTGCTAGATAGGAGGCAACGTGGGTTATGCTACAAATGTGGTGGGCCTTATGGCCCATTACACCAATGTCCAGTAAAGCAGCTACGACTCATTTTGGTGGATGACGAATTGCAAGTCGAGTACGAAAGGGATGACAATAAAGTCGAACAGCTGAAAGAAGAAGACAAATCAGAATCTGAAGGCGAATGCAGTTCTATATGCTTGCACAGGCTGGAAAAGGAAAGGAATCATCCGTTGAACACAATGAAATTACGCGGTCAGGTGCGAGGAATACCGCTATTCGTCTTGGTGGATAGTGGGGCCACCCACAATTTTATTTCAAAGAAATTAGTAGATGTAATGGGCTGGTCGCAGGAATCTACCAAGAGAATGAAGATTTTGATGGGAGATGGTCATAAATCAGAAACTTCAGGAGTGTGCCGTGGTTTGAGGGTGGAAACAACTGTTGGGGAATTTACTGTGGATGCATTTTTGTTTGAATTAGGGGATATTGACATGATTCTGGGCATGTCTTGGCTGGTATCTTTAGGTGAAATGGTTGTGGATTGGAATAAACAGAGGATGAAAATTGTGACTCCACATGGGACCAAGGTGCTTGAGGGTGCGCTGCGAGGAGAACCATTGTTGGCGTCCCTTAGTGAAACAATTCCGAAGGATGAACAAATAGGAGGAG